ACTATCATATGGGCATTACAGGTAAGGCAGATATAGTTGCAAGTACACTAGCTTTAGAAAGTTTGCAAGAAGTATATCATGTTAGTGAGTCTTGCTGTCCCAGGCTCTGGGTCTGGCAGTCACTTGATTCTTCCATGGCCAGGAAACTGAGTCATGAAATGGTGTCCAAAAGGTAAGTGCATGGTGCTCAGGCACTTGAAGGTGGTTAGCTGGTGGCCTGTGTTTGCTGTAGGTCTCACGTGGGAAAATCGGTCATGGCTGTAGAATTTATTGATAAGAATTGGGTAGGGCCAGGCGCTGGTGGTTCACACCTGTAATCCTAGCTACTCAGGAGGCTGAGATCTGAGGATGGAGGTTCCAAACAAGCCTGGGCAGCAAAGTCCATGAGACTCTTATCTCCAATTAACCACCAGAAAACTGGAAGTGACAATGTGGTTCAAGTGGTAGAGTGCTTATCTTGAGCTAAAGTGCCCAGAGACAATGCACAGGCCCAGAGTTCAAGCCGCACAACCTACCAAAAAAAAAAAAAAGAATATGGTGGGTAGACATTACATTAGACAAGGAGATAGGGTGTACCTTTCAGATGCACCTGACTTGCTCAATCCTCAAATCCTCACAGAGTAACCAGCAGTTCTGCTTTCAATCCCTCTCCAAGAGAGGTGTAAGGAGTTGGGGAGAGGGAAGATTGGGGCAGAAGGATAGGGTGGTGGGTAAATTCACAAATGTAAAATGAGTTTAAGCTGTAGCTATGAATTTATATAAAAAATATTGGGGGGCTGGGAAGGTGGCTCAGTGGTACAGTGCTTGCCTAGCATGCATGAGGCCCTGGGTTCATTGCTCAGCACCACATAGTTAGAAAAGGCCGGAAGTGGCACTGTGGCTCAAGTGGTAGAGCACTAGCCTTGAGCTCAAGAGCTCAGGGACAGTGCCCAGGCCCAGAGTTCAGGGCCCATGACCGACAGAAAAAAAAATTTATATATATATATATTGGTGGTATACACAAACACACATACACACACTTTTCCTTCTGTGCAGAAGAATGTTAAAGCCAAGCCCGAGGTGCAAAAATATAGTTACTGTGTTCATGTTTACATGAAAGGGAGTGAGAAGAGGAAAAAATGGCCTCCTTAGAAGGACTGCCATGTTTTGGGGTGTGGTGTGTGGACAAGAGGCCCACTCTATACACACACGCACTTCCATCCACCCAAGAATATGCTAGTGTGTGTACCTTTTATTACATAAAACAGTTCATTGACATGTTGGGTTTTTGCTATTTCCCTGTAGCTGAAAATGTTGCCAAGCAATGGCAGGTGAGTAGAGAAGATCAGGACAAGGTTGCACTGCTGTCCCAGAACAGGACAGAGCATGCACAGAAAGCTGGCCATTTTGACAAAGAGATTGTACCAGTTCTTGTGTCTTCCAGAAAAGGTGAGTGTATAAATCAGAGTTGAAAGTTCAAACATGTGTGCATGCTTGAACTCACAGGAGTCAGATGTGGAGATGCTTCTTGGATGGGTGTGTGCTGTGGGAAAGACTGTGCTGGATTTGTGTACCTGGTTACATGGGGAGTGCAGCCCAGAGGGCCACAGCCCTGTGCCTTCCCTGCAGGTGTCCTGAGCACCTGCAGCACTGGTCCTGGTTGTTGGGAGGGAGCAGCTGCCTGTTCCCCTTCAGCAGTGAATGGCCATCCTGTGTGGCTGTTTCTGTGCGCTTTCCCATTCACATCTCTAGAGGAAGGGCCTTCTGGGCTATTGTTTTAATCTAACACAGAATGCAACAGCCCAGATTCCCTACTGCAAACTGCTATCTTACTGGCAGCCTGACTGCTTTAAGACTGCTGCCCCTTGAGTTCCAACCAGCCAGGTGCAGGGACACAAAGCACAGCTCCTTGTGCCCAGTGCTCCTAAACTTTCATCTGAAGGAAGAGGGATTTAGGAACGATTCCCCTAAAATGTTTGTGTGTACTTTCCTATTGGAATGAAAGTGGGTAGATACTAACAGACCTTTATCTTTTTTGTCGGTCATGGGGCCTCAACTCTAGGCCTGGGTGCTGTCCCTCAGTTCTTCAGCTCAAGGCTGACGCTCTACCACTTGAGCCACAGCGCCACCTCCAGCATTTTCCTACTTATTTGGTGCTGAGGAATTGAACCCAGGGCCTCATGCATGCGAGGCAAGCACTCTACCACTGGGCCACCTTCCCAGCCCCACTCCCCTTCTCTTTGAAGCCTGCTGACTGCCGGCTCTGTGGTATTCTTGGTTTTATGCTTCCCAGGCATTACTGAAGTGAAAACAGACGAGTTTCCTCGCCATGGGAGCAACCTTGAAGCCCTGGCCAAGCTGAAGCCATACTTCCTTACAGACGGCACGGGGACCGTCACCGCAGCTAATGCTTCAGGTTTGCTTTCAGGTTTGGGCATTTGGGGAAGTGCCATCTTCTGCAAGGTCTACCAAGTGCATAGCTTTCCCACACAGAATGATGAAAAAAATCTTACAGTTTCTCCATATTTACTGATTTACCTGAATTTTTCTTTTTATTCTTTAGGGTGGGGGTGCTTTGTAGCACAAACTAAGCTTGAGATCACAATCCTTCAGAGTCTTATATACTGGGGAATACAGTGTGTCCTACCATGCCTGGTGTTAATTGCCTGACCTTGCAACTAGAGATAAATGAAGAATTCCTGAGTTTAGTGTGGACATGGTAGCAATCACTTGTAATTTCAGATATAGGCCAACTGAGGCAATTAGCAAGTCTTTGTCTGAAAACCAAAAGGACTGGAGGCATTTTTCAAGTGTTAGAGCTCTTGCCCAACATGCCTGGGTTTAGACCCAGTACTTCCTGATATCAGAAATACCCAATATTCCTTAGGAGTTTATTATTCCCATTTCTCTACCTTCCCCTTATGTTCTATGGAGTTATATGGTCAAAAGTATTTGTAAGTACACTGTAAACTGCTGAATTTCAGTGAACCGCTTTCCCAAGATGTCAATGTAATTCATGTCCACTGGTGGAAAATACAGGATCTACAGATAGGTAGCTTAAAAAAATCTTACAAAAATCAAGCAATATTTTACAGGAATCAATGATGGTGCTGCAGCTGTGGTTCTTATGAAGAAGTCAGAAGCTGAAAATCGTGGTCTTAAACCTTTAGCACAGATAGTTTCCTGGTCACAAGCAGGTGTGGACCCTTCTATTATGGGAACCGGACCCATTCCAGCCATAAAGCAAGCTGTGAGTTTAACTTCCTACACCTTGTCATTTGGTCTCTTGATTGAGCTAAGGCCAGACCCCTAATTCTTTACTAAGTTCTGTTTAAACTCACCTTTCTACTTCAGATCATCAGGATTGTCCTTGATTGTGTCATTAAAATGCCTCTAACCCTTAGTTTCATTATACTTTTAGTGATTTTCTACCATGAGGGGCAGCCAAAATTACTTTCCCTATACTGACATTTGAAGTCAGGGCCTGGGCATCTGCAAGTGTTCCCCCACATCCAGCCTGCATCACAGTTTTAAGATTGTTTGGCTGCATGGTGTAACAGCTCAACCCTGTGCTGGGAGTACAGGCATAGAACACCCCACATAGCTTCATGGTGTCACCTTTAAAGAGTGACATTGAAGTGACACTTTCATGTTGTGAATCTTTTGTCAACAGGAATGGTTAATTCCACCCTTCATTACCCAGGGCTCTATCCATTCTTCTTTCCTGCAGGTCTTTAAAGCAGGCTGGTCTCTGGAGGATGTCGATGCATTTGAAATCAATGAAGCCTTTGCAGCTGTCTCTGCTGCCATAGCTAAAGAACTTGGATTATGCCCCGAGAAGGTAATTGCCTGGGTTTGGCCATTGGGTAATGGATGAAGAAATAAGTAGTTAAACTCCTAGTATGACAGAGTTCAGTTGGTTTCCTAGGGCAAAAATACTTTGGCCTCATTAATTTATTTACAATGAATGGGGCATTGTGAAATAAAGAACAGGGAAAATGATCAACAGTTGATGTGGGAGGCATGAATTATTTGCCAGCAGTGAAAGGGTAGTTTTCTGTTAAAGCAAACTTGGGAATTTAATCTTTGTTCATGAATCCAATGATTTGATCCTTTCCCTCCTCTTCAGGTCAACATTGAGGGAGGGGCTATAGCCTTGGGCCACCCCCTTGGAGCATCTGGCTGTAGGATCCTTGTAACCCTGCTACACACACTGGAGAGAATGGACAAGAGCCGTGGTGTTGCAGCCCTGTGTATTGGAGGTGGGATGGGAATAGCAATGTGTGTTCAGAGAGGGTGAACCGCTTAACAGTACTCACAACTATACTTGAACCTTGATTTTTTTTTTCAATGTAAATTTTAATATGTAAAATCTAAGGACCAAAATGAGGAAGGGAACCATTCTACAACTTCAGAAGAATCCAAGTTTACAGATTGTGTGTGTTAATATTTACATCTAACATTGTTATAAATAAAGGGGAGATCAGTCATGAAAGACTCCGGAGTAAACTGCATCCTGATATCCTCCATGTTTATCATCTTTGCTCTCAGGTGTAATTTTATAAGGTCATCAATTCAAAGAATGGTAATTAATTGCAGTGTCTGTGGCAGATTTCAAGTTCTTTACCTTAACAATAGTGGGTTCAAAACCCCTGCTTGTCTGGGCACCAGTGGCTCATGCCTGTAATCCTAGCTACTCAGGAGGTAAGATCTGAGGCTCACAGTTCACAGTCAGCCCAGGCAGGTTCACAGTCAGCCCAGGCAGGAAGTCTGTGAGACTTATCTCCAGTAAACCACTCAGAAAACCAAAAGTGTTTCAGTGGCTCAAGTAGTAGAACGCGAGCCTTGAGCTAAAGTGTTGAAGGACAGCATTCAGGCTCACAGTTCCAGCCCCATGACCAACAAAACAAAATTAAAACAAAAATAAAAACTTTGCTTGCTGGGTGCCAGTGGCTCACGCCAGTAATCCTATTATTCAGGAGGCTGAGATCTGAGGATTACAGATCAAAGCCAGCCCAGGCTGAAAAGTCAATGAGACTCTTATGTCCAATAAACCACCAGAAAACCAGAAGTGGCACTGTGGATCAAGTGGTAAAGCACTAGTCTTGAGCTGAAAAAAAAAACAAAATAAATCTGCTTGTTTTTTGTCTTGGGGTTTCCCATTTACCAAATCCAGGCCAATCCTATAATTAAAGAAAATGGATTTTATAGCTGACAGACTTCTTAACCTGATAATCTATTACTCCCATCCACACCCTTCAGATCTGCATAAGGAACAGTGCACCAGGTGTTGCAGAAAAGGGGACATGGCAGTAAAGTTTCCTATTACTTAATGATGATGGTTATGGTTTGTGTCAGTACCTGGATGAGGCTCTCACACTGGCCATTGGCACATTTGTCAGAATGTACTCCCACGAATTTGTAGGTGATTGTGAGAGCTCCCAATTGGATACTCTTGACCTTTTTGTAGTAGTGATGACCCAGAGAAGCGGAGTAGGAAAAGTGTAACCCTCCTAATCATCGGTCATCATGCTTTGGATAAGTTATCTTTTGGACAAGTTAAATAATAAAGGCTTGTTATAATGGTTTAAATATTAATGCTAAATCTATGTTTTAAAATGATGTTGGGCTGGGAAATTGGCTCAGTGGTAGAGTGCTTGCTTTGCATGCATGAGGCCCTGGGTTCGATTCCTTAGTACCATATAACAAAAAGCTGGAAGTGGCTCTGTGGCCAAGTGGTAGAGCTCTAGCGTTGAGCTGAAGAGCTGAGGGACAGAACCCAGGCCCAGAGTTCAAGCCCTGTGACCAACAAAAAAAAAAAAATGTTTTGAGTCAGGTGCTGGTGGCTCATACCTTTGGATTATAAGACCTCAGGATTGTGGTACGCAATTAGTTGGTTGAAAAATATGTGAGACTTATGTCCAATTAAACACACACAAAAACTAGCAAGTAGAGCTGTGGATCAAGTGGTAGCGCACTAACCTTGAACACAATTTAGGAAGAGGGGTAGGTATATGGTTTAGTGTTTGCCTCGCATGTATGATGGCCTGGATTTGATTCCTCAGTACCACATAAACATTTGAAAAAGCCAAAATTGGTACCCCAAAACTCAAAAATTTAGGGATAGAACCAAGACCCAGAGTTCAAACAGGAATGGAAAATAGTTAAATAAATTGCTGTTTTCAGGGGACAGTGATGGAACAGAAGATGTTCAAGACACTGTAACCAGAACTTGACATTGACCTGAAACCCCTTTGAATAGGTATGGTTTAAAAAGAAATGGTCACAGAACTAAATTGTTATGTATGATTATTAGATGAAAATGAAAAAGACCTGGAAATCAGATACTTACCATTTTAGGTTTTTGCATTCTGGGTTAACTTGAACCGCATTATGAAATGCTCTTTGCAACCAGGTCTGTGGAGTCTTGAGCAGTGTTAACTGCCAGAGTATTAGGAATAACAAGGAGAGATCTTGCAAATTCAGCAATCGCAAGCTGTTCCTGAGACCCCTAAGAAACAGAAAAGGCACCTGAAGCCCACTGCAGCAGCTAAGGTCTCCAAGTAGTAAAACAGGAACTGACCTGCCATACTCTTGAAAACAAACGGCTCTTACATGCTGGTTGCATAGTTTTCAAGGTAAATGGAAAGGGCTGTTTCTACAGCCCCACCACCTGGGACCACAGACTTGGACTCCAAAACTCTCTTCACCACACACAGAGCATCATGTAGGGAGCGCTCCATCTCATCACACATGAAATCATTTGCCCCACGCAAGATAATTGACGCAGATGTACGAGCCTTTGTACTATTAAAACGGGAAATTCCTAGTTTTTCCACTGCATGTGCCTGGATTAAAGTCTGCCTGTGTATGACATTTGCCTATTCAGCAGTACAAACAATGTCTAGACCACGCAAAAAGATGAAATGCATTTCACCTCAATTTACCATGTCTCAATATTACTTTATCCCATGCTTACAGCTGCTCATATCACCAAAGGATTACAGCAGCAAATAAGTGGGAAATTCACTAAGTCTGCATAGTTTCAGAACTTAGAAAGTTGCTTACTTTTTGATTAAGATGAGTTCATCATCACAAATTCTTTCTTGTACCACCTCTTCTGTTCGTCCCAACATTGTAGCATCAAAAGTTTCTTCACAGATGGGAATAGCTTAGTGGTAGAATGCTTGAATAGCATGCATGAAGTCCCGGGTATGATTCTGCAGTAGCTCATAAACAGAAAAGTCTAGAAGTAGTGCTGTGGCTCAAGCAGAGGAGTGCTAGCCTTGAATGAAAGAAAGCTCACAGACAGTGCCCAGGCTCTAAGTTCAGCCCCAGGACTGGCCAAAAAAAA